AGGGCTTTACTGTTATGCGTGGCTGAAGCCCTTATTTTGAAGAAAGAAAGAAAACACAGAGCTTTGAAAAATAATATCACTGTTTTTGCACTTTTTTTGAGACCAAGTGTTTCTGCCCCCCGTACCCCAAAAAATAATATCATTCAAAACTGAAGTGTGTTTTTATAACAGAGTTCAGACACTATTTGCATGTAGTGAGGGGAAAAATGCTTTTCAAACCAACTTGTCCCTGCACGAACAGAAAGTAATATCACATCTTGTTAAATCTTAAATATACAAATTGCTTTTAGAAACTTGCGTTTTGTTTAACAAGAAAGCCCAAAAGTTGCTGGCTCAACTTCACGGCATGGAGAGGGTGAAAAATCTGGTAAAGTGAAAACTCCAGAAGTACAAGAAAACAAGTCCATTAGCAGACTAACATGTTTTGGCTTATGACCTTCATCAAGTCCAGATTCACTAGCCTAAAGTTTGGCAAACCTCAAAGAGCCATTTCTAAGGTTTTTGGGTGACCAGTAAACCACAGAGACACAGTGAAAACATGGAACCATGCAGGATCTTCCCAGGTGAGACTGGTCAAAATGAACCACATCAACAATTCCTCCAGGGGAAAATGCTGCAGACCTAATCGTGTCAGTTGAGGTCAAAGTTCACAACACAACAATAAGAAGCAATCACACTAAATGCTGACCAAAACTCAAACAAAGCCTCTTCTCATATTCCAAACATGTTGATGACTTTTGAAAAGACATGCAGCGGACTGAGCAGATAAAAGAAGCTCAGAGTATAAAACTAGCAACATTTCAGAGAAATATTTAATGCCCTTGGGCTGCAGAGTGATGACTGGGAGTTCTTCACTTCTTCAGGAACTAAATGCTCCATTGTAATTCACAAAGTCTTGAATTCTGCTCTATGGCACCAGCAAATCTGGAAGGAGAATCTGTTTGTGACCTTAAGGTCAAACACAGATGGGTTAAAGAGCACCGTCTGAAACACACCAGTAAACATGCAACTTAGTGATAAGAAAAAAAACATCTACTCATCCATTATCTGTACCCACTTAGTTGCCAGGGACTTTCTCCAGTGGTAATTGAATGAGTGTCCGGGGGAAAACCCTGGACAGGTCGCCGGTCCATTACAGTGCATCATAGACTCAGGACAAACACGCACACACGCACGCACACACCCTCACACACGCACGCACACACACACGCCATCATAACAAGGGGTGATTTAGAGAAACCAATTAATGTTTTTGGACTGTGGGAGAAAGCTGGAGTACCCAGTAAGAATCAATGCATACATAGAGAGAACATGAAAACTCCATGCAAAAAGACCCCAGACTGAGAACCAAACCAACTGTGCCACCATAGTGGCTCCCAAAAAGACGAGAAAAAACTGAAAGAAAACAGACTTAGTGAAATTCTGGAAAAGTACGATAGATATGAGATGAAGACAGTGTTCGTGCTTGAAGTCAATTCTGCAACAAGGAGTCAGAGTGACGGTGTAATAAACTCACAGCCTGTCATCACAAACTTGTGATGGTGGTGGTTGTTGCCAGAATGACAAAAAGCTGTTATTAGCTTTTAGGAGAAAATTACTTCTCACAATGGGGCCCGATTGGCTTGGTTAGCTTTCTATCTCCTAATTTCCACCATTTGAAAATGTTTCTGTTTCCTCTGTCAAAAAGGAAGAGACTGGGCTTGTTGGGCTCAAGCTGTCACTCACAGCCTTCTGGTTCAAATCTGATCCTGTGCAGCAGATGCTTCCAAAAGTCTGACCTACTTTTCTGGTGCAGCATCTGCATTTATATGCTCAAGTTTTAACTCTGGCTATTCGTCCCTGTTTTCAAACTCTGTTTCCCTCCAATGTTATCAGCAACATTCCCAACTTTTCTTATCATGACATGGATGAAAAAGTCATGTGTTGTTTTCTTTAAATGCGACTGGGTAAATATGAACACCAAACACAGACAACTGACAACCTTGCAGCTGCTGAACAGCTTCAATTGGAAAGAATATGGAAAAAAGAAGATAGAGGTGTTTTGATATGATGGTAGCAACTCGCTTGGAGTTTTTGTTTTTCTCAGAGAAGCAAAAACACAGAAAAAAAGAGAGAAAAAAAGTGCAGCACACTGCATTAAATTGGCCGAGGCTGAATGTGAAATAACCTGAGGGCTGCAGAGCCAGACAGGTGTGCCGGGCTGTCCGCAGCGTACACGGCCGGAGGCTCCAATGTCTAGATTCTGACTGATGCAGCCTTCACTCATGGACAAAATAATCCTGAGAGGAGCAGAAGGAGAACTACTGCCTAGAATGTGTCAAAGCTCCTGCTTTCTGGAAGATAAGAGCAAACCTTTCTACATCTTCTGCCGCACGGTTTAATAATTACTACCTGAATGCATGAGGTTCTTAACTCAGTAGGTGGTCTGCTTTACAGTCTTGGCTTCATGACAAGGGCATGTCCAGCTACAGTCCCAGATGAGACTCTCTGACACACTGAGATTCTTTTCCACATTCCCCGAATGACTTGGCGTGCTCATTCCTCTGAAACTGAACTCTAGGCTGAGACAGGAGGCAAAAAAACACCGAAACTATGCACGCGCAGGAGCAAAAGCTGCTATTATGGACTATTAAAGCTGCTGGCATCTGGGCTGCGAGCCAACACGGCGAGAAAGTGACCGAGTTTGTTTAAAGCAACTCCAGCGCCCGTGTTTGAACTGCTGTTTTCTTTAAGTCGGTGATGCGTAATGGTTTGGAAAACTGAGAGGTGGGAATAATAGTGGAACGCTTTGATATGGAAATAAAAATCTAAACGGTTTTTTAAATGTCTAACAAGCAAAGATCAGACAAGCATCAAAGACTCCTTTACTTTGACACCTTTATCTAAAATTTAGCGCAAATGAAAGTCCACCTGCTTAGAATTAATTGCCTTTGATTCATAATAACTGGAACATTTATCATTGTATCAGATTTATTCACTTTATGATTCTGATGATGACATTAGACAAGAGAAGTTGTTTACTGCCTGTTTCATAGCTGGCTACTGCGTTATCTTTTTATGATGTGCAGCACTTTGAACTGCTTTGTTGCTGAAATGTGCTACACAAATAAACTCGACTTGATTTGACTTCCAGTAAAAAGCCAAAGCGGAATGGTCCTAATTGAAGCATAATTATATGTTTGGACGGCCTAGTCAAAGTTCAGACATAAATCCAAGAGGTAGGACATGAAAACGAATGTACGTCCAGCAAAAAACACAAAACCTCTCAAAGTATTTTTGATCTAGCTTCTAGTGCAAACAACCCAAACATATGACTCTGTTACAAAGCGTTGTGTGAACCGAAGATGCAGCAGAGGGAGTATTTGAGTGCAGCTTTAGTTCAATCACAGAACTGAGTGGATGTGTGTGTCCCGCCTGCTTTCCTATATGGTGCACACACAGACTCCCACATACATGCTCAGACAGCCGCCGTCTGACTGGCAGGTGATGGGGGCAGGTGCTCTCCAGACACTCGCGGGGGAAGAAGGAAGTGGGAGGGCGGCCATACTTTACATCTGAGTGTGATGTGAGCAGACATGCGTACGGAAATCAAATCTAAAGCAGCCTATAGGGGAGAAATTCATTCCCAGCTTTTTGAACTGGTTCTGATCTCTTTCTCACAAAGAAAGGATTTCAAAGCAAAGGGTTATCAAGTGGTCAGTGATTATGCAGAGGACCAACTGGCTGTGATAAATGGCAGTTAAATGGTTCAAGGTCCAGATTTGTACGCTGTGCTGCTACACATTTACCCAACATGCAGGTGGTGCATTCAGCTCAGCCCTATTGCCATGTTTAGGTAGTGTCTAGTTACATGTGCCAGAGTAACTTTTTTGGGGAAAAAAATAGACGTTTAGGAGTATATTTTTCCTGCACTGCACTTTTTACTTTTACTTAAGGAGCTTTATAAAATATTGTTGATCTTACTTGAGTTTAAAAAAAAAGAAAGAAAGAAATTCTGGTTACTCTATCCACTCTGTGTGATTTCACTAAATGGAAAAACAAGCTTGCTGAACCAAAGAAATTACCAGACACACACACACACACGCACACCCCCCCCCCCCCCCCCCCCCCCCCCACACACACACACACACATATATATATATGTACAATTTTTGTGCACTGTACACATCTCTGGACCTGAGGTAGGAAATCCGACCATTTACTCCACCATATTGCGCACCAGCCTATTTACCACCAGACTATTTTATACAGGCACGGCTGCAGACGCCTCACATAACAAAGCTCTTAGTCATCAGGTGGCCGGACGGTCTCACCTCAGCTCACCTTCTCTCTGATGAAGTTTGAACAACCAAGGCCCCTCCGGACGACGCGCACGACAACCGGACGAGAACGTGAGCGAAGTTATGACCTTTTCATAACTTCGACACATTTCAAAACACACACACACACACACACACACACATGTCACACGCGCGTGCGGGTGAGTAAAGCGCCCTGGTTGCTTGGCAGTGCCCACAGGTAAGTGCGCGCGCGTTTCAGCCTTACCTTGCTCTATTCCACAGAGAGGCGAGCACCAACTTTCAGCCACGTACAGTTTCCCCCAGCAACCTTTCATCTGACATATTCCAGACATGCACTTACCTGCCTCGCGCTGCAGCGGCTCACTGCCGCGCTGCAGCCGTCACATTTAAAGCCTCACTGCCTAAGGAGCTGCTGGAAACGTTACCGATGCAAGAAGCAACAGCGTCTTCAAAGGGAATCAGATGCATAGGGAAGCTAATAATCTCTCCTGCACCAAACATGCGTCTGCCTGAGCTGGATAATTGGACATTATCCATCCAAGAGGGACTTTAATTTAGTTGTTGCCCCCCCTCCCCTCCCAAATACAAGGACTAAATTTTCCTCCTCAGGCTGTAGGTCACCTGGATGAGCTCAACAGCGTCGCTTTCACCAAGCACACAACAGGAAGCGCAGCCTCGGCCCCAAAGAGCACAGCTCACCTTTCACTCCCTGCTGCTGCAGCAAAGTGCTCACATGACATGTGTTTTGAAGGTGCTAAAGTGCTGATTTATGTGCTCAGTTTGTTGTTTCGAGGGATGACCGGTCCCGTACCTCTCCAGTGTTCGCAGCCTAGAGCGTGTGCTGGACGGCGTCCAGCGGCAGTGTGTGAATCCAGCAGGCCGTCCCGGGGTCAGGCCCAGCCACTCTGCAATCCATTGCTGCCTTGTGTTCCTCTCGGCTTCCCCTCCTCCCTTCTTTGCGCTTGGCTTTCTTCCTAATCACAGCAGACTTTTCAGAACTGATGTCCCACTTCTTGGTTTCTCCTCTTTTTGCTCCGCTTGCTCTTTTCCTCGCGTTAGAGCATTTTAGAAAACGGGTTGAAAACACCCGACACTTGCTGCTCTCATAGCTACTTATAATGCAGATCCAGTCTCTCTCTGAGCTTCTCTGCCTCTTTACCCTCCCACCCTCCTTCTCTCTGTCTCCTCTCTCTCTCTCTGCTACTGTTGGGAGAGAGCTCTCCTTTTTTCCCTCATATTCTCCTCCCTTTCTCTCGCCCTTCCTCTAATAGTTATTTAGTGTCTCATTTCAGCACCTGCCCTGTCACAGAAAGAGGAGAAAGGGAGAGGGACGACAATAATCACCCTCCGATACGACAGTGTATGCAGTGCTTTGAAAAAGGATTCACGCTCCATGGCTCCATCGTATGCAGAATGTAAATCCCCACCACGCATCAGATTTTTATTTATCCACCCTGTTATTATGCTGCTAATTTATAGTAGTCTGCATAAAACCAAAACACATTAGAGTTGCAAAGCTCATGCATTCAAGGAGGGACTGTTTTGTGTTATCTGACTGAAAGCACATCTCCATAAACAGATTCAACGCGTAAAAACTTTGCACAAAATTATTTGCATGTCTTTGTGCTTTCATGCACTGTAAGCAAGGTTACCAAAAAAACCTGCTTCCAGTCCAAACATCATGCAGCGATAGGAAGGAGCTGCTGAGGGTTCCTTCGGCTCTCGTCTATTTCGGTGGGCTCTCTGCTGTGTTCACTTATCAAAGATAACGTGAAGAGGGTGGCGGTTTAAATCAGGACAGCAGTTTACTCTGCAGAGCTGGATGCTCTGATTGTTTTGTGTTTTTGCTGGAGCACAAAAGACTTTTGGTGTGCCATTTGCTTTGCTGGCTTTGCTGCATCTTTGTCCCCAGGCAGTTGATTTGCAGCTCTCCTTCAGCAGTTCCTGCATGCGAGCGTTGGCTCCCTCGCCCCTTGCAGGCGGTGTAGCGATCCAGCCAGTGTCCACAGCGCATACCTGTGCTTGCTGACATGTACTAACTCACTCTTCCTGCAGGCCATGGCAGAGGAACGCGCAGCAATCACAACAATTCAAAAGATGGAACGTGGCAAAGAGGGAGGACAAGCAGAGAGGGGTGGGGGAGCATTAAAGAGAGATGATGGCAGGAATTAAATGAGCAGAAGAAGAAACAATTCCAAGAGGGAAGAGGAGAAACGAGTGAAGGAAAAGGTGAGGCGGAGTAGAGGAGATCAAACAAAAGTCAGAAATTGCCCAAGGGTTGAATAGTGTGAGAGGAAGAGAGAAATCATTAACGAACGCCTGTCTGTTTCTGTCTGCTCATAAATCAGGATCTTCTTCATATGTTTCTGCAGAGCAGAGAAAAAGGAGAAACAAAGGAAGGAGACTGGTTCAGAAATTATCAATGAACGTTTGTCCCTGCAGCGTTTCATCGCTCAGCAGAGACAGTTACCAAGCAGCACTGTGCTGTGTTCAATAAACTAGCTTTATTCTGGTCTAAAATGCAAAAACAAAAAAAGCAACTCTGAAATGAAAAAAAAAAGTTCTTATTCAGCAGTGCATACAATACTGTTAATACAATACTGTGCAGTTCATTCAAGTAGAGAAAAAACCCCGACGTGCTGATGAGGGAAAACAAAACACATTTTATAACCTTTGGAAAGTTAACGAGAGTCAAGAAAAGCTTGCCCTCTGTGCAGCCTTACAGTATTAGCCAGCAATAAAATGGAAGGCAAACTTTGACCTCAGGGTCGAGGTCAGAGCAGAAGCTCCGATTTATAGATTGCGGTTGGTTTTCAAGCAGTGGGAAACCCGACTTGAGTCCAAGAAGTCAGCTGTCTTTCATGTCTGCAGAGGCATTTTCAAGTGTGAGAAAAATTGGGGTTATCTCTGCTTGAGGTTAAAGACTACAAATGATTAACAGCGAGCTGACACACACTGCAGGCCCAGGTTGAGTGAGGTTTTCACCCGACGGATCCTTCAGAAAAAAAAACAAAAAAAAAATACTGCTCCCAGTGAAAAATATTTTGGTTTGACACAAACTACAGCTTTTAATTCAAGGTAACATAAGAGTTCTACAAGAATGTTTTCATAATAATGGCATTTTGTCATGTTAGACCACAAACTTCAAAGTATTTTACTGGTATTTTATGCGATAGACAAAAAACAAAAGCTTCAGAAACAAAGATGCTCAGAGTCCTGTGCGCTGATGACAGCAATATTCGATTGCCGAGGCGATGCCTCCGCCACATTTGCTCATTCGATAGCCCAAACCTTCTGCAGAACATCTGTAAACATAATTATTTTACCACTGATTAGATTGAATTAGATTCTGTTAGAGTACCGGTGGATTAAATTAGGTCATTCTGAATTTTTTGGCTGGGACTTTTCAAAACATGACGTTGCCACTGATATCCCCCCCAAAAAACCATTTTGCTAGGAAGACGGTTTCACCAAAACAACGTCGAACTGTGGTAAGAATAATCATGTTTAAAAACATAGCTGAGCTAATAAAGCCTTTGGTTGCGCTAAATCTGGACTGGATATGTGGCTTTTCTGGGGTAAATAAAGATTAGCCAACTAATGTCCAGAGTTTAGAGAGAGGGTTCACGGTGGTGTTGTGTTCATGGTGGACAGTGTTATGCCTTTATGCCAAACAGATTTATTTTCTTCTCATGAACTGCATCTTCAGGATAGTCGCAGTAAAAGGGGAGAAAAGAAATGCAGGCCACACTCTTCAGATTTTTATTTTTAAGACAAAAAAATATGATAAACTACTTTACTTTGAATATAACTTGTACTTTACAAGTGCTTTTCTGACAGATAAAATCCCAGTGGAACACAGTGACGTTTGTGGTTGCAATGTGACAAAATGTAAAAAAAATAAATAAAAAGATAAAGGGGCTGTGAGTACACTCGCGAGATTCTGTACACATCTGCATCAACAATGCATGCTGTAGCTGCTGGTAGTCATAAATCAAGTTAATCTGCAGAGAAGCGGCGTCATTATTCCTCATGCTTGATGAATTAAGCCCAGCTTAAATTACAGCTCAAACATCCAACAACTGAAGTTTGAATCCTCCTGGCGAAAGAGCCAGCCAGTGACCTTAGTTTCCTTTGCCTCAGTATGCGTGCAGCGGCATCAACAATCTCATCTGGAGCTGGCTTTTTGACTTTCAAATGATGAAAAAAATGATCTTTCTAAATTCAAAGGAGCGTCTTCCTCGAATGTTTCCTCCAAGCGTTTCATTCCAGTCCGGATTCATCAATCCAAAGGACGTGTCGCTTGCTTCAAGTGGGGCGGCGCAATTAGATTTAGACATAAAAAGAAGGAAGAGAGATGAGAGAGTTAGTTTTATCAGTGGCTGCTCTATGGGAGCTGAATGGTGCTGGCACAGATTAGTTTTGCTGTGATGCTGTAATTTTCAGCTGTTGGCATCTTTAATAAACCCTGTAATTTGAAAACTCTAGTATCTGTGAATGGGAAACCTTGGAGAATGCTCCTATTATGGAAATGTGAAAAACCTAATGCTGCGGTGGTGGTTTAACTCATCTCAGGAATCTCAAAATACAGATGCAGTCAGTCCAACTCTTGCTGCGGTTCAAAAATGCACTTAGATAAGTTGACTTACTTCATTCAGTAATGTCGTAAGATATAAAGAGTAGCTAAAATGCTAATGTTAGCACAAGGGCCATTACGTTGCTACTGCAGGCACCAATCACTGCAGACGTTCATCAGTTTGAAATAATAGGAAAACATACAGTTTTGTAATGTGTCAGCACTTTGTTAAGGTCTGAAAAAATCTGAGACGAAAGGAAAATCGTAAGAATGACGGCAAACAGCATCAAGCAAGGCAAGGTCTGCAAACTTGTACAACCCTGTGCTACTTTCTGTCTCCATATCAAATCCAGTTTTATATTCTCATGGATCAAGAAGATTCAGATCAAGACAGAAGCTCATGTTGCAAAACCAACACTTTCAAGCTCGACTTACCTTTGCAGGTTCACACAGACAAGCCGAATACCTTCAAGTTTCATCACAGGATGGTAAATATGTTCTATGCAGTCAAGGCGATGCTTTTCAAACCCAAGACCAACCCTAACTGTGCGGACTGTAAAGCATGGTGATGGTAACATCATGCTGTGGGATGGTTTTGATGCAACTGGTACTGGCAAATTAAACAAGGACGACAGAGTAATAAAGGGAGTCTGTTTCTATTTTACCTGCAAAAAACAACTAGGTAATTGAAACTTGAACATAAGCAGGTTTTCCACTAAGAAAGTGAGTCCAAATACCAATAAAACTGGTTTTAGAATGAATGAATAAAGCAAGCCGACTTTAACATTTGAGAATGAATTACCAAAGCCCTGACGTCAACCTTGTTAAAACTCAAGTTCATTCGAAGACGCCAACCAATTTAATTTACTCTTCTACTTCTGATAAGCGTCAGAAAGAATTATGCTAGAGGTTTGTTGACGATGACAAAAAACAGACGGTTTCACTTCCTAATTGGGTATGTTTGAGCATATGTATAGTGAAACACTAAACATTATGTCCATGCATTCTCTGAAATCAGGTTTCTCTAAATCTCTTATACTTACCTGTGTTTGTGTGTACCAAACTAAATGCATATTGATTTTACTCTTTTGTTCTATAGCTTCATAAAGCTACACCCGATTGCTACTGTGTGATCTGCAGTTACTCTGAAGTGAAAGTACACACTGTCAATTCTTTGCTTTTATGATATAAGTGACTTGGTAGTTAACAGGTTCTGTAAAGAGATGGCACAGACTTTTATTCAAATTCAGAATTAGATATAAATAATGGAGTTACAGTTGCCACATCCTTGCAGGGAGTGAAAGATTGCTGCAAAGTCAATGATTCAGATGTCTTTCCCTGGAAAGACATCTGCAGCTACATACATTTTAGCAGCTACATATTCAATGTGGCTGTTGTATAAGAATTACAGTTAAACTAGACAACATGTCTGAATACGACTTTTTGTTTGACCTGCTCTGCAAGAAATCACCAAACATAACTTGTGCTCAAGTCTGCATAATAGATGTATATTGTATCTCAGATAGCATACTGTGTCTTGTGAAATACACCAAGTTGAAATTGAACTGAAAATACAATTCTGGATTCTGTTCATTACTCCGTTGAGGACGTAGCTAATAAGTGCTAAAATAAACACATGGCTTTATTGGTTGATCAAACAATTGGTGTGATTAACTAACTCGTTGTGCTCAGAAGTGGGATTTTCCAAATTCCCATTTGGAAATGAAACAAGAACAGTAGTCAGAATTCCAACTCTGTGAGCATCCAGGAGTTTAGCATCCAGTTTGACTGACATGCACATACAACGTAATGAATCTATTTATTGGAACCTCTTCGGGCCAGTGGCATACACAGTTGTATAAAATGTTTACTTGCAAGATGATTATGTTGTATTTACGTTGAAAGATTGAAGATAATTATTACATTTCTTGACATGTTCTCAAAAACACAGGTTTAACATTTTTCCATAAAACATTCAGCTGATGGATTTTGGTCTTCAGTGTTTTTTAGGTAATATACTGAATGTCTTATGATTAATACATTAAACTTTGTATGCCTCACTGTCTCAGTGACCTGACTTGGAGCTGGCTGAACATTGTTGGCTTTCTCGTTGACCTCAACTTACCAGCAGCGCCTCCTGGTTTTCAGCCAGCGCTTGCTTGGCCAGGTAGCGCTCTCGCTTGATCTTCAGCTCCAAGGACTCGGGGACGTCGGGTACGATCCAGTCAATGGCTCGCAAAACAAAAAATACCACGTGCTACGTGGAAGGAAAAGAAGAACGAAGACAACAAGATGTTTCGTTTTACACTGAGGAAGAATTAAATTATTTCTGAACTGACTACTGAGAATGTTAAAACTTGTGTTATATATACAGGGACAGCATGATGCAACTGAAGAAACCTATGGTTTTAAGCTGAACATTAGTAGATTTCGCGTGTCGTCATTCAGACCTCAAATGCAATGATAAAACCGAGTCGCACAGCGAGGAGTTCCCAGTAGAAGAGTGTATACATTCCATCATTGTCTCTGAATGCTTTATATCTGGAAATAAATAAAGCACAGTCAATGCAGAGCATGTACAGCAGCAGAACAAGAAGTCACAACAAATTCAATTTGGAACGCGACCTACACTGCCCTCTACTGGTCAGGTCTAGGATTTCAAAAAAAGCAAAAGAAATGCAACTTTTGTATTGAACAGAAATATTCAAACACATAATCCTGATTCAGTTAAACATTTACATTCAAATGAGCTCAACAATATTTGATCTTAAAAAAAAACATTATCAGAGGTTTAATAAATTATTCACATTCAAATCAATCAGGTCAAGTCAACGGGCCCCTAATCTGTGGGTCATAAAATACCAACACGGGATTCTTCGGATAATCTTCAAAAATCAAATCAAGTTTAGAAGTAAGTGCTAAAAGCAAATACTTTGAATAACTGTTGACAGAAATCATGAAAATAAAATTGCATTCTTGAGTATCTGCATCAAAGTTTTAGTAAATAAATCTTGAGTTAATAAATCAAACAAAAATGACCAACAAACCACAAAGTTCAAATGCCACAGGAAGTATATCTTACTTTCTTACAGGTTTTGAAAAAAAGTAATTGCCATAGCAAGGCATTCAGACCAACCCCAATGTTTACCTTAACAAAACTAAATAAATGAGAAAATAACCCTGAATCTGTTTGTACACCATAAATGTAGAAAACTTTCTGAATTCATTTATTTGCACTGTTTTCGAGAAGCTTTGACTTATAAATATAATGTTGCCACCATACCTGCACCTAGGGTAGTCGGTGTAGTTGAGTGGTGCATAGGCCAAGGTGAAGTCAACGTATCCATTAAGATCATTCCTGAATTTGTACTGGTAGAGCAGGCGTGGTAAAAAATCTGATGTGAAGGCGATTAGAAAGGCCTGAGAAATAAAACTTTAAAACATCATTAACTTAGTGATGACTGCAACATCTTGGAAAAGCATAACTACAGATCTACTGACATTGGCAATGACAGACAGATGAGACAAGGCTTCTAAGATGTTGAACCAAACACCGATGTTTTGAGCCCGCTCAGCCACCGGTCGGCGGTACTCGCACACAAACTTGTGGGCGTCAAGGCGAATCTCCACCCAGTTGTTCAGGAGGGCGAAGAGCGGGGCGAGGGGGAACGCTGCTACAAAAATTGTGATGAACCCGAACTGGAGGACTGGAGGACAGGGAGACAGTTTTACTTTGAGCAGCCAAACATAACATTACAACTATTGCCCTCCAGAACTATGGGCCCTGCTGGTGAAGATGTGTTCAAAGGCCTTAAAATAAATGGTCTGGTAAAATGTAGGAGATTCTCTGTCTTCTTGCAGCCATTTAATAAATTATGAGGATCAACACTTTTTGTCTTTCCTATTTTTAATGGCTTGGCATGAAAAAGAGGCCAAAGGGAAACAGTCAATGGTTATATATTAAAAATTCCAAGACATTGACTTTTAATTTTTTTTTAAAAACAACCAAATCAGCTACATTCCTACCTACTATCAAAAAACATGCCCCCATTGATTTTATGAAAACTTTGTTTTTTACCATGGGATTTTGCCATTTAATCAGTATTAACCCTCATTCAATATGTAATCTACATAAACTTTCTTCATTCAGCTTTCTCCAGCTGAATAAGGAAAAAATTGGTTCTTATTTGTTCGCCAGATGACCTTCAGAACCTTCAGATTTTGAACTACTCTCCTTATAAACTCACGTTTAAAACGCAAGAGATTGTTCTATACCTTTAACCCGCTGCCTCTCATATTGACCAGCTGTGCCAATAAGTGAGAAGGGCTTTGTATTAATAGCATCTTCATCGGTCTGGGAATTGATCCAAAAAACAACAAGTACTTATCTAATTACCCATTTCCAGATATTCCTCAAACAGGCCCCCACACGGTACCAGCTTGTAGTCTTCCTCCCAGCGCCGCGGGTCGTCTTGCTCATTATCTTGCAACACGCTGGCCAAGGTTCTTTTCTGCCGCCAGGCTTTTACTTTGCTGCATTCAAGGAATAACAGATGAGTTAACATATAAATAATCACTTATATGATTATTTATATGTTAAATAATCATCCAGCTGGACTGGATGAAAAGAAAAGCAGCGTCACTGTAAATGAACAAGATAACGTCTTTAGAAACCACACAGATATGAGTTCAGCTCGCTCTAACAACAGCAGCACAAGAGGCAACGTACGGTATAATGAACTCCTGGATGTTGTTGATGAGCTGCTTCCCCACCATTATGATGAAGAGTTGTTCAGCCAACTCAATGAGGCAACCACCAGGACCACACTGAAATCACAAGGCGCACAGAAACAACTCAATGCAGCAACACAGGAAGCTAGTGTTGCAAGAATTTGTATTAAAAAAGCACTAACATCTTCGTTTCTCATCCCAAACAAGGTTCCATAGTTTGTAGGGTAACCCACAAACCTAAACACACAGAGACAAACAGAGAACTGCTTACATTTCTAGAGGAACGAACATTTTATCAAGTGTTTCATGTGCCTGGGCCATGTCTTACCTTCCCTTAAAGAAAGCCACGTAGAAGGGAGACGAGTAGAAGTTGACGAACTGGAAGATGAACACTTTGAGGGTGAAAGCGTTATCATGCTGGGTTTGGGTCCTGTGCATCTCTGTAATGTGAGTACAGAGAAATGCAGTGATGAAGTTGAAGAAACGTAAAAAGGTTTGAGTGGAATCGCTAAATACTGTATCTGAATAACGTGCTATCAGAATTCACTCTAACAAAGGCCAACCCTTTAAAAGAATGAACTTAGTGAAAGAAAAACAGAATGTTATCTTTTCTTTTGTGAAAACTTTCAGCTTACATTTCCTCACAGACAAATGCAGTGTTGATCGTTTACAGCTCGGATGTTTCTCAACTCTGCATTGACTCTTACCCCATTTGGTGAGCTGCTCAGCTAAGGCCGTATAAACCTGACCCATTACCAGAATGAAGCCCAGGTTCACAATGCTGCTGCAGATGTTAGCTATGGTTCCAGCCTGAGGAGGAAATGACATCGGCGCTAATGTTTATAACATCTTTTAAATCAAACAAATGAATCTGACATGTTCTGCGCAGATCCGACGTACCTCTGTACGCAGCACAGGGCTCCCGCTCTGGTACATCATGACACTGATGACTCCTCGACACATGACCACTGTCACCAGGAAGATTATCACCACACAAAGCTGAGGAGACATTATGTTGCAGAGGAATTGTTTTTTTTTTTTTAAAGTACTGGTATTGGTGACAATATCCCTGAATTTACTTGAAATAAGATAAATACCAAAATTCTCAGTATTGCACACCTCTAGGTTTTTGTCAAGTAGGACGTCATCAGACACGACTCACCATCAGGACAATGACCATGGAGCCAGTGAACATGCGAGACAGTCTCGTCTTCTCTGGAAAGTATGGCTCTTTGACTCCAGTCACTGGATTTTCCTCCATAGTCGGGGCCGTGGCGGCAAACTCAGGACGGGGACGTTCCTGAGAGGACACAGCAGGTCAGGCTTCTATACAGCTGCATTTTGTTAATGTGTATTCTCTAAATGAGAAGATGCTGCTGAAGGTGTTTTATGATAAATTAACGTCAGGAAATAGATGGAAAAAGTTTTGAAACACTATCATTTTCTTGTGTTACTCCACCGCAGCATCTTTTAGTCTTTCCATTCGCAGGAACCATGAGAATAAATCAGCATAGGGATGCTCATGCTAATGTAACAAATAACCTCCTCCTCATGGAAATCCATGCAGTCCCAGTGATGGGCCAGGGTAGCCATCTTGCGCTTCCAGAACTCCAGAAAGGTCACGGCCCAGAAGGACATGAAAACGCTGAAGAACACGGTACCGGGATGGTCGAACAGGTAGCCCAGCTGTAGCACGCAGTGGCAAGAGACAGGTTTAAGCTCAGAGTTTGTGAGTCTAAGTTGCGTTTCACAGCAATTAAAGGAGTAAATATATCTTACCTTTGCCATGGTGCAGATGTCAGACATGTTCCAAGCATCGCAGGTTTTACAAAGGGGGCACATCGGATACTTCGCACCACTGTTACAAATGTCCTCCCTGTTGACAGTCCCACATAATCTTCAAAAATGTACATCACTTTGCCTTAAAACACGCTCTAGTTCATCATCAAGTGAGAAAGTTTGAAAATGTTTATTGGCTCTCACTGTAAGCTCTACTATTGCGTGGTAAAATTTACCCTCCCAATGTGCCTCGCTTAATTCGCAAGTAAGTGTTGAAGATTCTAGAAAGTTTTATTTTCCTGGAAATCACAGCATTCCTCAGAGGAAAGCTGTAACATGCTTTTCCCTCAGAGGATCAATGCTAATCTCATATCTGCACATTAGGCGCTCAGCTGCAGCTGGTGCCAAATATCGAACTTGACAGCCTCAGAAGTAGAAAATCCATCAACTCCTGTGCACGAACAGATCTTTCTTGACAGAAGTTGTGGTCGTATCATCATTACCTCAGCTAAATGAATAATCGTTGCTAATCATCTCTAAATGTTGCTTCATGTAAAGCCGCTCTCCTCTATGCTGCAGTGTATAGTATTTCCTGTGATATTCTTTGTGTTTTCATTGAAGACTCACGCTGGCGTGTTAGTGTCCATGGACATGACTCCTGACACAAAAACCAACGTTCCCACTATGGCCGCCGGCAGCAGCCAGGCTGTGTAGAAACCTGCAGGGACACAGAGCTTCATTAGAGTACAGCTCTCAGTAAACGGAGGGAGAGGAAGTCAAACTACAAAGCTGCTCCGAGGTTGATGCTGCGCTGCGAGAGACGGATCTAATAGTCCGAAACACATCCGCATGTTTTCTGCTGATGCTGCGCTGGCCCTCTTGTTCATCTGTTCCTATGAAACATACATCCATCTGCTGTTTGTTTGCTCAACACATAATTCTCTGTCAACAGTGTCTGCCAAGCAGCTGCAGTGGGCTTTAAGCCCGATTCCTTATTTTTATTTTTTTACCTTTTTTGCAGTTCAGCAGTGTCGTCCCTTCAAGGTTTTAAAAGGAGTTTGTTTTAGTTCATCAGTTGAAGGAAAAAGTTGGTTCATTGACAAATTTCATTTTGCTTTCCAGAGTTCCCAGCTCTCAAAAACGTTTACGTTTTGAGCAGAAGAGAGAGAGAGAGAGAGAGAGATGGCAAGGCGAAGCAGAAATAAAGAGAGATGAAGATAGCTTAGCAGGAAGACACAAGTTCATTATGACACTAAATAATTCAGCAACACTAATACAGAGCAATGTACTTTTAGTTTTCCTACATATTGGTGCCCCATCTCAGGCCATTTGAAGTGAGTTTGCTTCAACACTTTAAAAGGGTGAAGTTTTCATTTGTGGTGTGTGTGTTTCAGTAAAATTTGATACAACTACCAAATATTACAATTAAATGACAAAAGCAGAAAGTCTTTACCATTGACTCTCTTTGTGCTGCTGATTAATATCATGAAAAGGAGTTGAAACGGTACATAAATCAAGAGCCTGAACTTGAATTACATCTTCTAGAGATATTTGTATATATTTTTATCAATACATTTATATTTTTTATAGATTTAATTATTTATTTATTGGGTTTACAGTTATGTAAGGGGGGGTTCTCCCATGGTTCTTGGAGCCTGTTGTGAACGCTCAGGCTAGATAGAATGACCACCAATTATGGCGGACAAATGGTTTTTCTGACACATTAAGTTGTTTCTCCGCCATTAGCAACAAGTACAGGAGGGTGACTGACGGCGTTAAGACCGTCCTCCTGGCTCTGATTGGATGTTTTTGGTCAGGAGTGGTACATGTCCTTAGCTCAGATATTTCACATATTATCTGTTTCATACTATATTGTCCCAAGATGTGACAATTTTCAGTAATATGTAGAAAATATAATATATATATATATTTTTAAGTTGCATACTGCACCTTTAACATACATTCTTCACTCTGAAGATGGAGCTCTAGCAAGTACACAGAGTAAGTCAGATATTTCCAAAAATAAGAATGATTTTATACCTAGCCAAGCAAAGTAGAGGGCAATCTTCTCTCCAAAGTACTCCCGAATGTGATCTAGTGGTTGGTACTTGAACCATTTGCACCAGCGAGCCCAGTAGTAGTGCAGGACCTGCCTCTGGTTGAGCTCGTCAGGATGGAGCTCGTGGCTCAAAAGCTTGAAAGGACCCTGTTGCGAGCCGAGAAACGAGGCTGATCAGAGAGGGAAACACAGCTAAGGAAAACATTACCCAGCGGATAACAATCGTTCACCTCATGCAGAGGATAAGCTGCTGTGTAGGCCCCTTCATTTACCAGTCTATCCACACCAACCTCCGTCCTCTTTCTTTTGCCGTACACCGTCCGAGCGAGGATCTCATAAACCTACGTTAGAACACAAGACTACATCTGTCGGATGAAGGAAACACGGCCATCCCAAAACACTGCTATGCGGCAACAGGAGTGTTACTTACAACCTGGTGTCTCTGAGTATTGGTGAAGTAGCTGTCTTGGTCTTCGGAGCCGAGGAATCTGCATGAAAGCAATTCATTCATAAACATGCAGACACTGGGTCTGAATTTGATGTGCTTGGGGTCGGTGGTATCGTGTGGGACTCACCTGTTCATCTTTGACTTGCGGAAGGCGCATGTGTAATAGTCCAGCGGCCTGTTTGGCACCGATTCCATCATTATGTTGGGTACGCAGAGTCTTCTTAGAACAACGGAAGATGTGTTCAGGTCCAGGTGTTGCTGGGCCTGCAAATCACCAGAGATTTGCAATTTGCTTTTTTTTCTTTTGATGCAGGTCTAAAATTCCATTCGCAGGGATCTTAAATGGCTCTTTAAAAGTCTTAAATTTGAGTTAGTGAAACCTACAGAAACCCTGGGAAAGGCTAAAGGGAATATAAATAGTTTTGGATGGCAGTGCATTTATTAAAAAGGCAAGTTTTATCTCCATTAATACCATCTCTCAAATGAATGTGTGCTGCGCAGCAACTGGGATTAATATGAATTAGTTTCCAGAAAAGGGACACAGATATTTAAATGGTCCCGTTAAATGATTGTAAGGAACAGCTTTGCTGACCTGCAGTGGAGCTCGGAGGCAAAGTTCCTCAGCATAGTAAACCAACACATCCCACGGGGCGCTGACTTTAAGAAAATGTATGGTTTTCTTTTCATTTGCAGATTCCTCCTGAATGGAGAGAGCGGAAAGAGAAAAGCTGGTGAGCGGCATTGACGAATATGAATTCTGACTGTCCTCTTGGAGTAACAAAATAAACGACAGCACCTTTTCCAAGAGCAGTCCAGCACTCTGGAGGTTCTGGACAAACTTGTCCCTCCACTCTGCCAGTTGTGCAGACTCCCCATCCTCAGAGGTCCCGTTGCTTTTCCCCTTCCCTCGCTGCTTGCCCCGTGACTGGATCTCCCACACCAGCACAAAATCTGAAAGGCAACATTAAATAATTAACTGAACGCCAAATACATCATTCAAAGCAACACTGGTGATGCGTACCAATTTTAGTTCGTCCATCTCTGAAGTAGTTGCCCATTTTTGAGACCGCTTGGTTATCTCTCGTAATGCAGCGCAAATGAATTGGATCATCACCGTGGATGTGGCACTTTGAAGCTGCGGATGAAAACTGAGAAGGAACGTGATTTGGCCAATATGACAAACACATGACTCGCAGTGTTAAATCATTTATTCACGTTTTGTCAATGTAAAACCTCAAATTGCGACATGCTTTCTTGGAGTTTTATGTGTTATATCTACACAAAGTAGCATGTAAAAAAAAAATAAAAAAATAATTGTGGCATTTTTCTGCCTCTGTATTGAAAGGGAATATAAATAGACTCTCTGCCAACTTTGCGCAGTAAGACATTGAAATTGTAGAGTTTTGCCACGGATTCTCAACCGAACTGGGTTGCTCTAAAACAAATGTATTTTTATCTTAAACATCCTATCTGGTTCTGAACTGATTGTTTTGTCCAGCTGGAAAGTAAACCTCTGCCCCCAAATCAATGCAACTCAATTCGAAGAAACTTTACTTATCCCAAAGGGAAATTAAATGTTGTAACTCATGTCATGATAGGAGTCAGTATTGCAGTGAGTCTGAAGAGGCTGTTGCTGTTGATGTTTGAGCTGCAAATAGTGATTATTTTAGTAATCAGTTAATCTATCAATTATTTAGACAATTACTCGATTAATCACATTGAAAAAAAACAAAAAAACAATTGGCATATTGTGCTGATTTTTTATTTGCTATGCAATATTAGAAATACAGCAAAAGTATGAAATAAACAAATAATTCACTTGTTTTTAAACAAACATTGCATTGTCTAAAAAGCAACACCACTGCTTTCTGTCAGTCAGTTTGAATGGAGTGAATATATTAAAAAAAATACCACTTGAGGAGTTTTGGATAAAACATATTGCTATAGATGTTTTTAAATGCTTTTTATATTTTAAATGTAATATAAACACACAAACATACACACACAAATATATATATAATACAGTTTCTGCTCTGGATGTGTGTGTCAGTGTGTGTGTGTTTGGGGTTAACAATTAATGGATTATTTCAATAATAATTCATCTCTATTAATCCAATTAATAGTTTCAGTCCTAATGATGGTCTCATGATTCTCCTGACATGCCAGTAGCTTCACCTCTGGGCAGCAGAAATTGAGCTGCTGATCATATCAGGCAATAGTCCAAAACATCTTCTTTAAATGTTTTGGATCTTTAAGGAGTTATATATTTTATTTTTATTTTTTTTAATTGTTTTAAGTAGGTAAACCAACAAACTAAAAAAGAAAAAGAAGAAGAAGAAGACAAATCACAAAATATTTTTTTTGCATTTTAAATGTGATTAATATTGTGGGCTCGTCGGGAGTTTAAATTTGGCAGTTTTGGCACCAGGTGCACACAAAATAAATAAATAAATAAATAAGACTCTATAGATGTAGAGGTATCAGAGTAAAAATAACTAAATACAGATTCAATTTTTTTTATTTTTATTTGTAGAGCGTTTTGAAAACCATGCATCGTTTTCCTTCTGAAGCAGGAAACTGACACTTTGGCTTTCAAAGATCACAAATCCGAGGCTTTTGCTCGCGAACACTTCCCTGCCTTTGGATGAGACTGAAGCGCGCACTCTTGTGCAAGACACTGCGCCATAAAAAGCCTGCACTCTGCAGTAAGGAGCCCGGAAACATGGAGACAGAGAGCTGTCCCTGTGCTTTCTGCAAGATAACACACACACACTTTATATATATATATATATATATATATATATATATATATATATATATATATATATATATATATATATCCCATTCCCAGTGACAGATCCAGATTCCCAGCTGACCGTGTGAAGTTAGTGAAGTGCGAAAAGATGAGGCAGAGAAACAGAGCCACGTATTGGCCACATGTCGGCTGCGCTGCACAGTATGCAACGACGTGAGAGAAGTGAGAAGAAGAAAAAAAGAAAAGAAAGAAAGAAAGGCGCTTACACATGGTGAAGGGAAACAGTCCCCGTTCTGCAGACTGCCGTAGCCGTCTGTGGTGCGAGCTTCACCCCTGGCGTCCAAATCCAGAAGGACTTCTCTGTCTCCACTCCGCACCTCCCAGCTCTTTTTCATCATAATGAAAAAAAAAACTAAAAAAAAAAAAAAACAAAAACAAACAAAAAAACAACAACACGAAAACACAAAAACAAAAACAAATAAAAAAACGCACTGCTGGCTGGCTCCAAAAATATGACTTAACAAAAAACAAACTAAACAAACAGCGTACTGATGACGTTACATAAAACTGGACAACAAACAAACAAAACCTGAAGTAGAAAACTGCAGGTTTTGCATCTTAAAGGAACAAATAAATGAACGGATTCTACCTTCTCTGCAGTGAGAACTAGGCTGGGGGATTTGCAACAGTCTGTGCTTCCATTGTGCTCTTCCTCCTCTTCATCTCAGTATCCATCAAGCCCCTTAACCGCCCCCCCCAACCACACATAAACACACACACACACCACCCCCAACTTCAGCGCCACTGCATTAGCTGTGGAGTACCGTAATGCACCTAATCCAGGGGGAAGCGGCACATTCTCTGCTTTGCTGCATCTCAGCATTACAGACGCACCCTGCACCTTTCAGAGGCATAGATGATTGAATGTGGAGTCAGGAGCAGAAGCTGTGACTGTGATGGCAGGTGAAAACGCATCTGTTGAGATGAGTGTGTGTTCTCACACACTCATCTCAACAGTCGATTTAGTGCATTCTCACAGCCGGGTCTGAACGTGGCGCACATTTGCATAATTTATTAAGTATGAGCATCAGTAGGAGAGCTCCGCCCTGCGTGGCTGCAACTTTAACGCAGGAGAGAGGGAGAGAAAGAGAGAGAGAGAGAGAAAGAGAGAGAGAGAAATCAGGTGACACTTTTTACTTTTCAGTTTGGTGAGATCCATAAAAGTTAATAGAAAATCTGAGCAAAAATCTTAACTTTGACCTTTCAGTGAAATTAATGAATCATGAATGAAAAATGCAGGAGAGCCTTTCCGCTCCCTTTACTCTGATGCCCCCAAATACAAAAATAGAGAAATTGTTGTATTAGTAAACAGAGTTAATGTGTAAGCAGTTTCATTTGTTATGATTTTAGAGGATGTCACATAAGTTTGATGCGGAAAATGAAAACATTCCTGCGGTAGTGGCGGTGGCATGCTGTGGGGATGTGAGTCTCTTTTGTTTCTTTTTTATTTATTTTTAAGCTTGGGTTTTCCAGGACGAACAGCCTGCTTAAGTTGGCACCAGTGCAGCTGAGTTTAGACTTTGATTAGGCCACAAAACTCTAACTTGAATGTTTTGATTAACTAAAGTAAAGAAATCTGTCTGCTGATGCTGTCTAGTTTCTGAGAACATCCAAGAATCTTTCGTCTGCAAGTCCTTAGGGAAGGCTCAGGATGCAGATAGATGCTGCAGAAAAGCACATTTAAAAAAAATGAAAAGTCATGCATTTTAAATAAAAAGGCAGCTAGCACAGAAAGTTAGAAAAGTGCCCGTTGTGTTGTAGTACTATAATATATTTCTTAAATATATAAGCTTATATCTGTTAAACACTCCATTTTGTCAGCCAGCTTCCTCCAGCAATAAATGAAACACTGGCAGTGTCACCAGGATGGCAAGGCTGAAAATACTACAGAAACAGCCCTCCCAAAGGGATGGCTATATATATATATATATATATATATATATATATATATATATATATATATATATATATATATATATATATATATATATATATATATATATATACACACATAGAGAGAGAGAGAGAGAGAGAGAGAGAGAGAGAGAGAGAGAGAGAGAGTAAAAGAACCCCCGGATCTCCTCAAATGTATCTTTCTCATTCCCCCAAAGCATCATTTTCATGTTTTATGAAAAATATGCTAAGTGGTTCATGGTTCCGTCATTGTAGTGATGCTCTCAAGGCATTTTGATTCCACTTAAGAGACAAAATAAATGACACAAGAAGCTAACAAGAAGCTAAAGAAATAAATTGTTTGAAACAGACAGTACTGATGTTCTCAATTAACCTTCACCTAGAACTTAGATTTAGGAATATCATCAAATGCAGATGTTTGTCAGTCCACTGCAGCAGCATGAGAAAGACACTGAATGTCAGAAGTGAAGGTGATCTTTTTTATTATTATTATTATTGCAGCCATCACCATGTTTTACATGCAAGACGACAATGTAGGGTTTAGACTTTTCTGTTCATTGCCTTCCTTTCACACTTCAAAGTTTCAGGTTCTGAGTAAAAACTGAAAAGATAATTACAAGGTATCCTTCAACAAAACATGCAGTGCATGTTCATCTTTAAAAGGACATGAAATAAACTGCAAACTCAAAGTCCTGTTGCCCTAAAGATAGGGAGCTTCTGTTTTGTGTGCCACAGTGTAATTCCAGATTACAATGTTGCATTTAACTAAAAAAAAAACAAAAACTAAAAAAATACATTTTCACTGAGCTGCAGTAACTTGTGAAGTTTCTGGTCCTGCTCTAACACGACTGCCACAGCTTTCATCCTTGATTATATTTGCAAGTGTCGAAACCAAACGCAAGAATCCTTAAAACCCACAGAGTCACAGCAGGAGTCGACTTTCTTTGCAGTTTATTTAGTTGCTTTTTTTTTTTTTTTGTACATTCTCTGTGATGCAGAACAATATAAAACTTTCAGAACATGCACGTTTAAGTGGGACTTAACAGACTTGTATTATTATTGTTAGTGCTTTATTTACATTTTGATAAATCCAATGAATAATACAAATATTCCATGCAATGTGCATGTAAACAAATAGGAGAAACATAAAACAGAAAAACTCTGACAGTACATCGTTTACAAGGTATTATCCATCATTGACCAGCAATTTCCTAAATTTCAAACGATCAAGAACACTTCCTCGACTTTTTCTTCATATACAATCCACAGGCACAATTCAAAGCACAGAAGAAGCATTTCAAGTCTCCAACATCTGCAACTTTACGCTCCCAAATCAATGGATCCTTTAGGAATTCGGACTCTGTTTTTCTTGCAAAGAGCAAAACCTTTCATAAAACCTTATCCAAATGTTCCTCCCCTTCTGTGTGCAAAAATAACTTCGTAACGCTGCAGTGGGCGTTGCAAAGTCCCAAAGCTTGAAGAAAAGGCCGATTTATAAAATACTGCACCGAGATTCAAGAGACACTGCAGCAAAACAAAAACACACAGGGTGACTCCTAAGGTTTTGGAACCTTTATTCACCTGAGATTTATTTGTTACCAATAAAAAAAAGAGAGAGAAAAGCAAGACCAAGTGGCACTTAGAAAGGTTTACTGCCCTGATTAATGCTAACACAGGAAGGAGTAACACAGTGTAAATTGTACAAGATGTAGACATGTATGTATATGGCTAAGAGGCATTTTAATGCAGTGCATATTTAACCACAGAGTTAAGAGTTATATAAAAACAGGACTTCTGATAAAGCTTGTTTTAGCCTGAAATGCAACATTTGATGGGAGTTCTTCAAAGTCTGTTTAGAGTACTTAGTTTTCACATCCGGGTGTTTTACGTAAGATTTTGTAGGAAGAAGTGAACATCTGATATACAGTTGAAACAAAATGTAAATATCAATGATCTGAACTCAAATATACTCAGTAAGGCATTTTTTTAAAATGTTAAAATTAGTCAATTTGCCCATTACAGATCACAAAAGGCAAAATTGTCAAAACAAGCAAAACATTATTTTATGTTTTAATGATAGCCAATATTTTATTGTGTAGGAGAGATTGTATTGAGATTCAAAATTTTGCAATTTTTATGTTCTGCCAAGCCTTAGTATGCGATCAAAAAAGAATGTAATCAGAAAAAAGGTGAGAATTTCCTTAGAAATTATGCATTGCAGTGAGAATAATGATAAACTTAAAAATAAAAGTGCAATGTTATAAACACTTGATACAAAAATCAAAGGAAGAAGTCTGGTCAAATGACACATTATTCTGTAAAATGTGACTCAAACACACTGCAACACTTATAAATAAAGGCAAACATCAGAAAAATCCCAACTAAACTAATCAATTAGCAATTTAATTAATCTGAGTCATCCTCCTCCAATACTTCTGGAAAGAGGAAAAAAATAAACCTGGCACCAAAAAAAAAAACAAAAAAAAACAAAAAATGCAAATGTGCAGATGTCATTTGTCTCCACACTATGGAAAAAAGGCAAATTCAGGTGGAAACATTTCAACTTCTAGAACAACAAATTTCAGGCATGAGTGTGTTTACCAGAGTGCTTGATGTGTGTAAAACATCAAGATCTGCTTCAGATCTTCATTCCCGCAGAGTCCCGCCTAAAGTTTACGTGAGAATTCCTCCTTGTGAAGGTGTGTACTCTCGCTCACAGCTAATCTGAATATCAGACCAGCATCAGTGACCGTGCACCGACACCGTAAAGTGTTGTGCCTTTGCATTACATTTGCTCTTCAGGTAGGCTTTTTCAGGACACGTTTTAACAGTTAGCATTAGCGTCAGAGTAAGAAGACCTACGAATTCACACAGTTGTGTGCGTTACGCAAGCGGTGCGTGTTCTAAACATTTTTTTGTGCACAGGATAAAACTGCAAATCCACCCAGATGTGTATAATATGAAGCACTCGGGTTGGCAGAAATATCAAATAAAACTTCCTAGCTGTTGATTCTCGTCATGCCTTAGACGTAGCTAAATCTTCAGAGTTAAACATCAGAGGTTTATGGCGATAAACCTTCACTGTTTCTGCCAAATGTAGCTATTTCAGTGGAATCAATATCTGTGCACATGCACCACAACTTTAGCATTAAATGTTTTAGATGAAAGCAGTTCTGAAACTTGGCTTCAGTAAATGACCTCCGAATGTTACTTCTGAATATTCTGACACGTAACCCTCCATTGGACTGTGTCGTTCATGATTGTGTGTCAGCACCAGGGCTCCCGCTGGGCTCTGCCTCGAGCCAGGCTGTCTGCCCTCTGCCAGGCACTCTTCATCAGCTCCAGGGCCTCACCGCAGCGTTTCTGCACCAGCGGGTCCAACAGCTCTTGGTGGGGGAGGTCAACCTGTGTACGACGACAACAGGCAACACGTTTAACTGCACAGCGCAAGAGAACATTATATGAAGCTCTTTTTGCATATCGCTGTATAAAGTTAACGCTCAACCGACGTGCAAAAAAAAAAAAAAAAAAAATTAAAAGAAATTGTATTTGTTTTTGCATTTTTCTTAAAATCTCTAATTGATGTTTAAATGTTGTCAATAATATATTCCAATAACATAGTTCTTAAGATATATTTTTACATTTTCTGTCATCTTGGCTGTTGGTGAAGTGGTCTGGCAGCCCTACCAACAGACTTAGCATGTTTTTTGAAGGAAGTCCAGATAAACTATCTTCTAAACTCTTTTTTCTGCATAACCAATTGCTGGATTTGTAAAACCTCTACATGTTGATTTTATCCCATCAAGAACAAGGTTGACAGTTCATTCTGACCTGGAAAATGTCTTTCCATGTCTCGTTTAATGCATTTAGAAGCCGATCCCTCTCTTCACAGCCGCTGAAGTATAACACCCATGGAGGGAGGAACTGATGTCGATCTGCTGCAAACTCCTGTAGAGAGCAAAAGCCGGTGTTACAGCACTGCAAAAAGCCCAATGGGAAGATTTTCATTAGGACAAAGCAACACAAAGACAAGAAACAATTCCACAGTTATTGTCACAGCTCGTAAAGATCCTATCAAATGAATTCATTTTCTAGAAACAAATTTTGAAACATCAAAACATCTGATCTTTAATTTGGGTATTTTTGATCATTGGGAAAAAACAACACAGAAGGTCCAATTTTCCTTAGCTGAGAAAACATGCCATACAAGTACAAATAAAAAAATTGCTTCTCAGCTAAATCTGTCCCATGAGAATAAGTTAATCTCTACCAGTTTGGTTGATTAGCACCATTGCATGGTTGAGTTCAGGCTTTATTTCAAAATCTGTAACGTTTTTATTTATCAGTTATGGTTTGGGATATCATGTGTTAGATGGAAATTATTCAAAGCACAATTTGAGAACCTTGGTATCTTTACTGTAGCAGTTTTAGTATGTTTATTGGTATTAATTGGTATTTTAAAAAGCCAAAGTCGAAGGATCATAGGACAAGTCTGAGTCTGAAGTTCTAAAAATAAAGTAATTCTTCTTTTTGATTGATGATTGACTGCAAATTCAGTGTAGAAGTTAAACAACCGAAATAAAATGTCAAAAATCAAGGTTTGATGTAAACAGAAGATCACTCACAATAACACAGTATTCCTTGTCAGACTCCAAGCTCACAGTGGTCACGTCACAGATATCGACACTCCCCAGCGAACGGAAAAAGCTCGTCTGACAATCCTGATGACAAGTTAGCAACCTTTTGTCCGTCACCACCAGGCAACATGGGATACACGGGGTGGGGGCCACACCCTGAGGGATAACCTGTGGTAAAGGGACTGTAGTTTACATAGGCCCATATTTATCAGGAAATTATGCAACCAAAATAATGTATGTTAAATAAAAACAATACAAAAAAAGCAGAAGCACATGAAAATGTTTAATGGAAGAAAACAAGAGTACAAGATTCAAACAGCTCTTCATAAGAACATAGAAAGGGACAAATATTTTAGAAATACCCTATTTAGCAAGGTAGCTGAAGAAAATCAGAAACTTTTGCTAATAATGTCTGATACAGAAGAAAATTGTACAAACATTAAATAATTCCTGTCCATAATAAGTTTTGTTTTTCCACCACTCCTACATTTATCCATAGAAATCTCTAACTTCAAACCAATGGATGCAAAATTTTTAATATTTGTAACAGTGCATCATTCCAACTTTCTCCACTTACCCCTTTGGAAACAGACTGACAGAGAAGCTGCATCCATTCGGCCATTTCCTGCTCATTGTCGGCACTGAGTACCAGTGGAGGGCGCTCTGTCAAGATGACCTGGAAGGCGTGGGGGCGCTCTGTGTTGTTGGAGCGACGGCACCCACCACAGTGTTGCCCCCTGAAGACAAACAAAGAGGCGTCAAAACAGAGGGCATCGTTTTCAATCTGGAAGTTGAGTTTTCTGAGACTTACCCCATGGTGACAGACATCACAGGGGTCACATCTGTCCTCTCTGCATACAAGTACAAAATCCCTTTGCTGCACAAAGAGAGAACAAACATTTAGCTTCATATACCGGATGACATTTGGACAGACTGTCAGACTGATATTTTCAGCAAAACATAAAGAAAGAAATTATACAAGAAATTATATTATGTAATAAAACTTGTTTAAATAATACTGCGCCACTCTCTGACATTTGTACCCCTCTTTAATGTGTAAGAAGCCTTAAAGGTGCAGTACGTAACTTTAATAAACAATATGTTTGGTAATAATAAATGAAAAATTATGCTCACTGCTTCCCTCTGTGGTCCTTCAATCATCTGCAGGAGTTGGTCAAAAACAACAAATAAGAGCCAGGAGAGGGACTTAGCGCTATCAATAATGCTGTTCACACTCTCTTTCTTTCTGCTACGCTACAGCCAGTTCCCCGTCATGAATGCGCAGCATCGTTAGCATAACCACCAATGACAGAGAACAAATAGTTTTTCTCTGACTTTAAGCTTTTTCTCCTCCATAAGCACACTGAGCAGTGCCACTACAAGCTTGATTGACAGCGCAAAGACTCTCCTCTTGGCTATGATTGGTTGTTTTTGACCAAGAGCGGTGCACTTCTGTAGATGTTGATATTAGCACAGAGAGGAGATGAAGGAGATAGGATTTTTCATATACAATCTGTCACGACATGGTAACAATTTGAACAAATATGGAGATGTGGATTGTTTACAAAAGTTACTGCACCTTTAATATGACTAACAAATCTTATTTTGAGTACATTTATTCAGTGGGGAGAAATCCCGCAATAGTAAAAACCAAAAAAAAAAAAAAAAAAAGGTTTTTGGTGGCAAATTTTAATTATATAAAAATAGCCCAAATCACTGAAAATCATTCTTTACTTGCTGAGGTTATGTAGAAACTTTCAATCTGTAATTTTGAACTTCTTGTTTCACAGAGGTAGAAATATGAAATGTCACATTTTCTTTAGTCACACTTTAGAATAAGACATTAAAACATGCCATTTAGACACAGAACTTAATTCAGGAACTCGGAAAAAACAAGTCAACTACTGTTTTGAAATTTTGCCCTTAGCCACAGTCAGAGCAAGAATGAGATTCAAGTGAATCTCAATGGAGAAAATCAAGGCTGGATGGCAATATAAGCTTATCTTTCCAGTAGAAGGAGACGGAAAATCTTCTAAATGCGATGTTAGAGAACTCCAGTTTTGGTCCAAGGAGACAAAGATTCAGCTATTCATCATAAAAATAACTGGAGGTGAGTTTGAAAAGGAAAATATGAGCATGAATATGGTCTATACCTGAGAATGACGTAGCAGCTCTTCCACATCTCTTTACCGAGGTACGTAATCCCAGCCTTGTACTGCAGAGAACCTTCTTTGATACTGGAAGGGACTCCAGAGGTGGGTGTGCCTCCTTGGGGAGACATGGTCATATCCATTGGGTCCTCCCAGTGAACCAGTGAATAAAGCTGGATTGACACTTCAGATACCTGAGAAGAAGCAGCAACAAATGTCAAAATGATGTTTGGAAGGTTTGGCTCTCGAAAGCTGTTAAATAAAATAGTTGTAACAATATTCTACCTCACAATGACACTCCTGAGAGACAAACTTATTCAAGGCCAGTTTTTCCATGGTGGCATCTGTCAGAACAGCTGGATATGGAGGCTCTCGACAACCCTGGACCATGGCGGACATCAGCACAGACAGGAACCAGCTAAAAATGAAGGAGAAAGGAGATTTAATGCCAGTGGATAGGCAATCACTCAGTGAGAAGGAAACCAACACTTTTCCAAGATGAATGTTTTTCAGTGGCAGGAAGTAGGAGACAAGTCAGAAAAGAGGGAGGAATGTTTGAGATCTCCCAGATCAGAACCTTCTCAATAGGGTCACGCTGATGTTCCAGCAGTTTCAAAATAGCGACTGGCTGGCGACTTGGTCGTTTCTAAGCTTTATAATCCATCTCCTTTCATGTAAGGGTCACAGTTTGGACGAGATAATGTTCAAGATAGTGTTCAAGTTAAAATGACTCCAAACTCCAGAGAATGCATAAGTGTTTTTTAGACTGTATTGTTATTTTTATGTTTTTTTGACGTATGTAACAGATCTTTCTTGTAAATAAGACGTTGACTGTATGAATAAAGGATAATATGCAAAGTAGTGTAATATTAAACTTCTGCAATGGACTAGCTGTTGAACAGTTGTGAATGTAAGACTTGGTTCACACACCAGCAAAACATCTGGCTTTTATAAGATCTACTGCTAGCAGTGGAAAATATTTAGACTGAATTATATTGGAAGCTTGTCAACGACCAGAAAAAACGACATGTGTGAGGAGCAGGTCACCATGGAACATCTAATCAAAATTTTTAGACTGCAATCTTGTTAGATCATAATTTTACGATAAAAGAAGCACTTTACAAGAAATGTATAGAAAACAAAAAATGTATTTGACAATTTAGCCATGGTGTCCAAAAAAGAAAACAGAACGAAACTGTGCACCTCTTTGAATACACAAAGAGAAGAATATTATTAAAAACCAATAAAAGTGAATTTACACAGTCAGCGAGCCATCAGCTGTATCCAACAGGAACTTCCTTCGTCTGTTAGTGCAAACCAGCGTTATTGTCTGTTGGTCAAGGCCCACCTAAGAGGAAGAAATAAGATCCATCTTGTTTAAAACATATTAAGTAAATCTACTGTTTAATCATTGTCAATTATTGCATTAGCAGATATACAAAAGCAATAAGTTTACAAGAAAAACATAATATAAATGTAGTGAAATCCATCTAGAAAAAATGAGAAACTTGTGAGGTGCAGATGACTTACAGAAAGATAGTCGAGCTCATTATAAGAAACAGCATCTTCTACTGTGTAGGGTTTTTCAGCTGCTCCTAAAATAATAGGCAGTTATTAATGTACGCCAAATGAATCACCGATTATATTATACATGAACAAAACTCTGTGCAACATGCAAATTCTGAGGTTTCCCATGACATAGGGCTGGAGTCAGTTTTAGAGCCAGAGGTACTGGCTGATTATGTCATTGACTCACCCTTTCTTAGTAAGTAGATGTAACAGTCAGTCAGCAGCAGATAAAGAGGCTGCAGGTCTCCCTCCATGTGACCTGTACTCATTCTCAACATCTGGAAAACACAAAATAAATGGCAGAGAAATCCTTAGGGACAGTTTTTTTGTCTCCAATGAAACATTCACTCTTATTAGCATCTCCATGGAGGATTTACTGTGATGTTTTTATAATGTGAAGGAAAGCAGACAATTTTTATATACAGAGGTAGTCCTCATAGGCAGATTGTTCTTCCTGTTTTCTTATAGAAGATTTAAAGGCAAATGTGGCAACATTTAACACTTCTGCAGGTTTCACCAAGTAAAATTTAAGACTTTTAAAGAAATCTTTAAAACCAATTTCAATGAAATTTAAGACCTACATCTCCACAGAAGTGTGAATGTCATCCAGGAACAGTTGTGTTGAGATACATTTGAACGTAGCACAATAGACACATATAAGCTAGCCAGCTAGCTAGCCAGCTAGCTAGGAAGGGTATTAGCAGGTCATTACTGGTAGCCTCAATTGTCTGATGAGACAAAACGCTATGAATATTTCACCTGACAGAAAAGTTTAGAATAAAACAATACATTGAATATATGAATTGAATTAATCCTGTCAAGGCAAAATTGAAGACATATCATTAATGTATTAAATGGCAACTTATTTCTTTTTAAAATCATTTTTAGACATTTTAAAGCCTTACTTTTAGATTAATGAATTTAAGACTTTAAGTGCAGGCACCCTGATTAAAGGCACCTCATGGGTGAAAAAGAGTGAACTTTTGTCATTTGTCAGTCTACAGGGAAGGAGTGTAAAAGGCATTGACAAACTGGGCCTTGCAACATTTCCAAAGGAAGATTGTTTCATAGCCACCTCTAAGAGGACATAATAACATCAAAAGTTTCAACTTTTTTAAAGGGACACAGTGGAATTTTTGTTCTCTATACATTTGATTTGTGATGCCAAATCAATCTGTTAATCTGTTTGTTGAACAATGAACTGAGAAGATGTGACTCTCTTGAGGTTTAGAAAAAGTCTGAAAAAAGAAAAAACAAGCTTCTTCCATCCTCACTCTGAAAAGTTGCTCCTCGTTCTCTCTGAACACATGGATCATGAGAAGAAGCAGGTGATTGTTGTCCACCCTGAAACGTGGTTGTAGAGGATTAGATTTGCGATGAGAACCAGGAAAAGAACAAATATCTGGTCATATCTTGATTTCTTACTTGAACTCTGCCGGGTGAGAAATCTCAGAAGGACTGAGTTTCTCCTGCTGCTCCGTTTCCTTGGACGATCTGCCTGCTGAATTTCCCTCTACGGTCTCTTCCTCTTCCTTCATGTGAGGCTTCCGTCCTGCTGGTTCTTCTGCTTCTTCCTCATCTTCAAGGCTACCTGAAAGAGTCTGTGACTGGCTTTGCTCTGTAGAGTCATTGTGGCCACCACTTGTGTCAGCAGAGTCTGTACTGTTGGTGGTAATGCAGCATAGGTCCGCAGACACAGGAGAGGTCTGCAGGCAGTCTGGTCTGTCGGCCAGAGAGGAGTCAAACGACTCTTGTGGAGTTGGGTCAGGAGGTTTTCCTTCGGAATCGTTGCGAAAGGGCTGCTGCACCGGAGGCAGGGCGCTCTGATCACAGCTTTGATTGTTTTTGTCCTCCTGTTCCTCAGGGGGTGCCCAGGACCCATTAAGCCGCTCCATGACATCACGGAGGGGTTGTCCAACGGTGTCCATGGAGGTGTCTGTCATCTTTGGGAGCCGAAGCAAGCCTTCCACCCCTTCTTCGCCCCCTTCCTCTACAATCGCAGAACCCAATCTGCTCCTGCTCTGCTCTCCTTCACTGTCCAGTAGCGCTACAGTGGAGTTTATCGAGTCAACTTCTTGCGACGTGCTGTGGTTCACAATCTCCTCATGTTCAGAGGAGAGCGAGGCATGGATGCTGCTGCTGGAATCTGTAGATCCCCTGCCACGTCGCTTCTTGGCTGGCTTCTTTCGTTTAGCCATCCTAGGACAGATAATGAAGATGGTAAATTTGGCTTCAGGCATAAGCAGAAGCTGCTTCTTAAAGGTAAGACCCTAAAACATTTGTCACCTGATGACTTCAAGCTCATTGCCGTTGACCTCGGTCTCATCTTCGGTGGTGTTGCGACGGCTGGCTGTATGAACTGGTGTGACGTCCGCTGAGGTATTCGTATCAGAGTCCTCATTGAACGGGTTGTGTCGAGATGTGGGGCTGTTCGGGGAAAGGCGAGCAGCCGTTTTCCCCACTGCTGTGCTGGTGACAACTACTGTGTCACTGACGACCGTCTGGGGATCAGAGCCAGTCGACCGTGGGCAGCTGGTCTGGTCGGTCAAGTCACCCTCTGGTGTCAAGAGCCGCAAAAAGATAACTGAGTAAATTAAAATGCAGCTGTTGTCCAGGTTTATATCTAAAGAGTAAAGGAAATACACAGACTGTCTCTTCTGCATTGGTGGCAGCAGAATTATGCCAGATGGCTTGTTGACAAAAGTTACAGTGCCAATGAAAACTTTATTACACTTATTAAAAGAATATTTGAGCTGTGCTGTCTTCACAAATTTATGCTTAAGTGTTGAAAGTTGCAGCAAAATAATTGATAATTTGTTGAAATTGGGTGAGCTGTTGGCACTGAACTCACTTTTAAGCATATTCTGGAAATCTAAAATTTCTGATATAAGGACACTGATGGAAGCAATTCACTCCAGCATTTATATCTATATTTTTTTGCATTCGAGCTTATGTGGACTAGAAAAATCAACCGTGTCAAATAAGTGCATTTAATTATTCATCACTGCCAAGTCAAATGATTTGTTTGTTGTATAGTAATTGCCGAATGAAAAGAAGTTGGTAATGCTTTTACCAACCCAGGAGATTTACAGTCAAGTCAGGTGTATATAAACTTTTCACCAGCACCGTATTTACAAGGATCTGATTTGGTTTTAATTTCTTTTGTGCTTTTTTGCAATGTTGTAATCCTGACCAATCAAACAAGTGTACAGGAATACTGTGCATTTCCTCATTAGCATAGAAATAGGCAGTGTTAGGGCAAAGCAATCTAAAAATTTTTAAGGGTTAAAAAAAAACAACAAAGGCACCACACAATATGAGACATGTCAGGCAGCAGGTTTCTTTGCAGAGTCACAGGCCCAGGTCAAGCGGTGTTACTGCAGCAGCTACAGCTAAAAGGCAAGGATAAAAACTGACAAATAACTGCTTATTCTCTAGCAATTTGAGAACCTAAAGTGTAATCTCCAATATTTCAAATATGCCACTTGTAAATTAGACCTTCTAGAGAACTGAACACTGAACTAAAACTGATTGGCTGATTTTCAATCAACACTACAGCTTAGCTGAACCTAGGCCAGTGAAAGACATCAACAGGATGAAGACACACCATAATATGCAACACAGAGATACACAATAAAAACAGAAGCCTAGAAAAGACAAGGTGAGTCCCAGCTGCTTTGGGCTTTCCTACTGCTGTGTCAACAGTTACGCAGAGTAAGCTTGAATAAGATAGTTCCCCAAATAAGCAACACATGCAGAACATGACAGACAGGTAACCCACCCAGCAATAAATTTCCAGATTAATGATCCACTTTATTGCGCACAAACACAGTTTGTTTCACTTTTTTCTATTTTGATTTATGACATTTGAATAAGTATGGCTACAAATCTATGAAATATTATAAATGCATTTCTATTTATTTTACCCTTGGGTTTCATAGGCATCCCCAAAGGAACGTCTGACCTCTTCTAATAAAATTTGTTTTAACTGAATGGAACAACTTTTTATCTCAATCTGTCGGAAATTTGATTTATTTCGTAGTCTGCATGCAATATAGCAATAAAGGGAACATTCACGTCAAACAACTATAAAATTTGCCAGAGGAGCATAAACAGGTTTTTCAATATTGGCAACATTGTATCTTTTAGGAAATAGCATGAAAAATATGCACTTATGATGAAAGTAATAATAATAATAATATTTTTGCAGTATTGCCAAGGGTGTTTTGGTAATATCTATTAACTTTCTTCAAATTTAGAAGTTTACTTGCATTTCCTTTGTATTTGATGGAGTTACTTTTAGACGTGTGTCAAATAATCTGCATATCCTCCCACAAATTTCTCACAACAGTTAACTGAGCTTTGGTGTAACAGAGTCAGGTTTGTAGGCCATCTTAGCTGCACACGGATCTATGATCAGGGCTTTGTGATGTCCATTCCTAAACACTGACTTTATCCTTCAGCCACCGTATAACAAATTTCCATTAGGAAGACTTATTTGAGCCCAGCTTCAACTTCCTGGTTGACCTCTTGAGATGTCCTCCAATATCTAGTTTTTTCTTCCTGAAGTGTTTCAGTGCATTTCACAGTTGGGATGTTGCTTTCATGCTTGCAAGCTCATCCCCTCATCTCTCCAAATGTAACAATGGTTCTTGAAGCTTTGTAAAAAAGTTAAAATTGCACCAGACCACGAGACATGTTTTTAAAAATTGCAGTCGTGCTATTTATGTCTACTCTGTAGTTACAGATGTGTTCTATCTTTCTTTAAGCAGCCTATGCCAGCATCTTCACAAGGTTTCATGTTTTGTTCTGGAGCTGATTCGCATCAACACACATTCATCTCACAAAATCACGACGAGTTGCACCGAGTTGTTTAAAAGGCCCAGTAATTGTTTGTATATGTAACCTTCAGAATTTGAAGAAAATAATGCTAAATTCTCAGAAATAATTATCTCCTTCTTATGTAGTTTAGATGATACTGACTAACTTAAACTATAAACAGTGAGTTGATGGCAAAAAGTAAAGGAATAATTGTATTTATATAAAGTTTGTGTAAATCTGTTTCAACTGTTCCATTAATCTAAAAAAAACATCAGAAATTAATGTGCTTCTTTTTGTAAATATGACCAATCACTTAAAAGATATTTCTGTCAAATTATTTTAAAAATCACAGCTAATATCAGCTTAGTAGACTTGCAGTGGTATTTTCTAAAAAGCAGAAGGACAACAAGGGTAAATATTGTGTCCAAATAAATGATTGAAAACAACTACAAAGTCAAGCAGCTGACAATATACAGTAATGATTATAACTAGAGGTACACTGATAAATTTGCTCAGATTTCCTTAATTTTGGCTGATCAACTGATACTTTACACATAAACCCATTAATATTCAATGGCTTATATTTAGATACTTTTCAGATAAAAATTGGTACTGGACAAAATCGGAATCAGCAGGTCAGGCTTTTTCAAGATTGGTGATCAGCAAGAAAACTACCATTAGTGTACACCTAATTAAAGCTGAAATGATCACTTTTTTGCAGCAGTAAGGTTGTGTTTCTTTCTGTTTAAAAAAACAGCTTTCAGAGCTTGTCATGCTTTATTGTTTGAAACATTTTGCCAAATTTAGAGTGGTATTCTTCCACAAAGTAACAGATCATAATAATCTGATGCTAGCCACTACATAATTGCTTTTGATGTAAACAAGGTACATTAAATATACTGCCTTAAATTTCACAGAAAACTAAATCTTTCAGAACCAAATGCCAAACCCCTTTAATTTTTTTCCCCCATTTACTTCACCTTTTTCAAATTCAGATACATTGTCTTGCATCAGTGGCTATTTTACAGTTCAGGTTCCCAGCATGCATTTAATCCCAAATTGTGCTCAAATTCATGCTATAACGGAGGGAGAGAAAATATGGGATGAGTAAGCAGGAAGGAAGGGTTGACCATTGTCCCACCTTCCCAGTTTGCACTTGGTAATGACTGCAACACGGGGAACATGTCACCAAAATCATAATCTAAAAAAAACAGAAAAGGAGGGATAACATCGAAAATTAGAAAAAGTGACTGAAGAAACAAAAGACAAATGAATGTGAATAAATGACAGAGAAACAGTACAATAACATGATACAAGGAATGTGAAACAACTAAACCAATGAGGGTAAAAAATTGAGAAATGGGAACTAAAACAGGGAACTGGCTCAGGGCTTTGTGGGGGTTTTGCACTGCAATTACCCCAGTGAAGGTATTCTGCCACCATCGGCAAGCATATGAAATGAAATGCAGTTATGTGAAGAATTCGTAACACATCCTGTATGTTTAGCTAACATCTTTTGACATATATTTATCACCAATTGTAAAAATACAGACAAAAAAATCAACTAATTAAAGAAAAACAAGGGAATAGTTTAAAATTTTTGCCAAATCAATATAACAAAACAATTTGTGGCAATGAATAAATTAAATCAACCCCACATTACTTTCAATTTCAAATGACTTAAACACTCCTAGTTGGTGCACATGAATAGAACAATCAAAGTCAGCATTTTTTACATGTTGAGTAAACCTCATATATTCACTCTGCAAAATGATTAAGCATATATAGAAAAACCCTAAAATGTCCTCAATGGATGTAGAAGTGAATTTCTATACAATAAGAAAAAAAACTTTATTCTCAAAGAAAAACATGAAGGCCAGACTGAAGTTTGCCAGAAAGAACGTAGACAAAGAGGATGACTTCTGGAACAATGTTCTTCAGACAGATGAACCAAAGGCAGAATTAAACATTGCCCAGTTCTACTTTAAGCAAAAAAAAAAACAAAGAACGAAATTGAAAACCAGTCTGCATTTCACTGCCAGGTTTTACTGTACTAATTCAGGTAAAGACGTATAGTAAGAAACAGGGTGGGCAGAGAAAATACAGCATGCTCTACCTTCACTGGAGGGAGCTATGGCGCTGTCGTCCCACTCCAGGTTGGTGGAGGTCAGGGAGGTAAACGAGTGCAAAGACAAGCTGTCCGAGCTGGGGAGCCTTTCCTCAAAGTCCAGCAGGTTGTGCGGTTTGTAGTACTCCGGCATGTATGGAGCAACATCCAGGTAGGGCACATCCTAAACCAGGAACAGGCGTCTGACAAGTTAAGGACACACAGATGAGTGCAGTGTGTGATAATATGTTGTGATTAAGCTTATGCTGACCAGCTCCAGATCAAAGCGAATGAACTCCAGGCCGGACACCAGTGTAAGGAACAGCGTGAGGTGGTCGTGACTGCAGACCAATGCATTTCTACAAGTCAAACATATTATGATTTAAGGCATTTAACACATATGAAGTGAACAGTAAAAGTCCAAGCTGAAAACTTTAAAGCAGTCACACGCATTTTTAAAAAATGGTCATTAAAAAGAAAAATCTTAACATACTTGAAGTAATACTTTTGTAACAATCCTTGATTCTCTTGGAAGAGGCGTAGATAGCTTTCTAAAGAGCTCTCACTCAACGCCAGGTACAACCATGCTCGACCTGCGCAAAATAGTTGAAGCCTCCTTTAATGAATGCATCTGAAAGTCTAATAAATTATGTTTCATTTTTATTTCAAATGCAATTCCCTATGCAGTAAATAGGTCATACTTCGACCGAGGTTGGTGGCTATGTGCTGCAGCTCGTCTATCTGTCGGACAGCCTCCCTCCTGGTGAAGTGAACCACCAGCACCCAGTAGCCTGACGATATGTCCTGCAGCCTAAAACAACAACACATTCATGGGGGAAAGGGCTAACACAAATAGGTAACATATGACAGGTTGTTTAAAATATCGTGTAAATAATATCCATCCTCAGGCAGATTGACCTGAGAAGATCAGAGCACTAATCGGGGTTCCTGCAGATTTAAATTTTAGACTTAAGATCTTTAGAAAACTAATCATTGTTAGTGAATAATGATACAGCTAAAGACAAAATTAAGAGACCACTTAAAAGTTATCAGTTTCTCTGATTTTACTTTCTGTAGGAATGTGTTTGAGTAAAATAAACATTGTTCTTTTATTCTATGAACTACTGACAACATGTTTCCAAAATTTCCAGCAAACATTTTGTATTTATTTGCAGAAAATGAGAAACTGTCAAAATAAAAAATGATGGAATGGTTTCAGACTTCAGACTTTTTCTCAGCATTGAAGATTCTATGTTCCTGTGTTTTTCAGGTGCTTTAAAAACTTTAAAGACTCCCAATCAGCTTCTCTGCTAAATCAGCTGAAAAGGTAAATTGATAAAGTGCATGTTAGCTTTCAGTTGATGTGTCTATTTTTCCAGCAACGTCCTGGTGATATGACATCTTTCTGCTAAAGGTAAGAGAACTATAACCAATAACCCCACTTTAAAATATACAAACTAACCCTTTAGTTGACTATATTCAAAGCAAGACTAGGTAGAAAAAATAAAGACATTGAAAAAAAATCTGAAATGTGTTACTTAAGGTGACTGTAAAAGATTTCCAAAGTCTGGTAATTTAAAGCAAAATCTGAAGAAGCAAGACATGGCTAAACTCTTTTAAGTAATGCAGAAGTGGTGAAACAGGAAGGAAGATTTGCATACATAAAGAAAACCAAAAAATGATATCAGATGAAACATGACACAAATGGATGCATACTAACATATGCATCCATATGTCAGTGTGTGCAAAGAAGAGTGGAAAGGAAATAAATATAACTTATTATGCACACGCAGTGCAGTCATTCTCTGTGTGTCAGACATATAAACACCCTTTGTTTATAGCTGTAGAAAATGACTAAAGAAGAGGCAACTACATTGCCATGCCACTATGTTGTTTCAATGCCAATGTATTATCTTGTACTAAAGTGTACATTTTCAGATATTTATGGGTTTTTTGATGGGTTTTTCAAAGAAAAGTGATGCTTTCATGTCTGATGTCTGAGGCCGTTTGCTCTGATGACTGACAATGTTTTTCTGATTTTATTTCCTAAAATCTACATGGCACTGCAGGCCCGTGAAAGGCTTTCAAAGTAAAAAATATATATAATGTTGGAATTGTATTAATGCCTTTTTTTAAAACACCCACCCTTCCACTTTTCAAAATGGTTGAAGGCCTTAGATAATATTCTACACACTTTAAAATGCTGTTTTTGAATCTATCCTAAATACACTTTTAAAAGCGCTGCTACTTAAAATGGGAAAACAATTGCAAAAACTGTTATTTTATTAAATTTAGAAATCAAGATTAGGCTTTAAATATGGAAATGGCATTTAGTAATAGTAATACCTTAGATGCAAAGCATAACAGGAAATACCATTTGAAGAGGTGTGCATAAGACCGACATGACACTGTCAAAAACATGTCATGACACCTCTTGTTAATACGAAGTAGCCTTCATAAATGTTTCAGAATTGTCATAAACTGTCATTCGGTAAAAAGTTGCTCTAAAAGTGCATTACAACTGCAAAGCTGCATTAAAAGTTCATTAGAAATGTCAACTTTGCATTAAAAGTCTCATTTACCGAATGACACAACAAAAGTATAGATACACAGCTCTCATGCATATGTGACACTACAATCAGAACAATGTGATCCACACAAAATAGCATAAATAATTTGAAGTAATCTTTCTTTACTTTCTAACATTCTGCAGCTATCTTGCAGTAAATATCTTACCCATAGAGCAGAGCATGGTCGAGGTGTTCACAAAGACGCTGGAGGACCCGGTCGTGATTGCGGATAGCGGGAGTTTCATCCTCACAGGCTGCAAAGTAACTCTGTAACTGTAGAGACACATGCAGATCAGATTACTCTAGCAATAAAAAAAGCTGTAATCTTTCAGGCATTCAGAGCAGGAATTCCAAGCATTTCTTAATACGGTGGATTTAAAAAGTTGGTGAATTTGCACAATAGGTCATCTGCAGAAGACTGACTTTGTGGGTATGCTTTTAACCCTGCAGCACAAGGTTAAAATGATAACTTTATGAATTATTGCGTATTTCAATTGTGCAGCTAGACAACAATTAAAACAAGAAATGCAGGCCTAAGCAGAGGAATCACTTTGACTTGCACATAATCTAGAGAGGTGTTTGAAAGCACTCATATGAGCAGTAAACGAAGCAGCCCGCAACACGAATCTGAAACAGCATCGCTAGAAAACTGGCAAAATCCCAACTATTGTCTGTGGATTGTAGATTTAATCAAGTTGATGTTTGGTTTAGCTGCCCTATGTCCCTGGAAACATAGATAGATCACACTCCCTCTGTTAGATACACACAGAGTCGATGTTGGAATGTTAAGGGAAAGATAAAGTGCGTATTGTTGCTTTAACAAACCAATCAATCAATCAAAATCAATCAGAATCAATATATCTTTTTTTTTTTTTTACAAAAAAATACCCTCCCCGAATTTCAAAGTGAAAATTTATTTCTAAAAAATAATGACAGCTAAATGAAAATAGGTGTCACTGTACATGATCAAGCTTCTACTGGCTTTCTGGACCTTCATTTAAAAATGAGAAAGAAACAACTGAAGTTTAAAAAACAGATATAAAACAAATGCAGGTTTTAGTTATTTTTACATTTACAATTGCATTTAATTTTTACAGTAGAGTGACTCTAAAAGTACCCATTATTTTTATTCAGTTCTATTTTTCTTGTTTCTAGGCTGGAAACTATGTGCAATACCAACACTCTAGAAGAAGACCAAAATGCCAAAAGCACATAACTGCAAAAACTTATAGATCTCCACCGTGAAACATGGTAGTAGATAGAATAGAGGAGCTGATTTGACAAGGGCCTGCAAATGACTTAAGGCAGGAGTTCATACAGCCAGGGCTGCACAGGAATAGCTTAGATCAAGGCACATTGATCCATTACATTGGCCAAGTCAAAGTACAGATCTATATCTAACTTGGAATATGTGGCAAGATTCAATAAATAGTCTCAATTCAATTCGGCTATAAAGACCAATAGCACTTATAAAGCTTTGTGATGAGTTTAAAAAGCTGCAAGAGATTTAAATATTTTTACAACAGGACATCAAGACAACCAATGTAACTTTTCAATTCTAAATACAGGGGAGATCAACTGCATCATGTGACAGGTAAAGCGCACAAGGTAAACCTTGAAAGCTAGAGGCACAGTAAGTAAACACCAAATTAATGTGAGGGCATTGAAGTAACAAGTACACTTAAATTTGACAATTTTTTGCTCCTTGTTAGTCAAAGCTTATCTTGGTGCATTACCAAACAAGAAGCTTTCTAACCCAATCCCACTGCAATGAGACAAACCCTTCAAAAATACTAACAATCAGATCACCTTCAGAAAGGATGAAGGTGATCAAGCATCCACTCGATCAGCAAAAAGAAGAGGAAAATTCCTGCATGCATCACACTCATTATATGTTCTTATAGACAGAAAGGAGGAGGAAACAGCTAATGTTGCGGCTTTGTTTACACTCTCCATTGCCGCAGTGTGCGAGCTCAAGGAGGGTCAGTGCCACTGCTGCTGCCCATGGACAAAAAACACAAACTATAAAGCTCGAATAAAAGCTCTAGCTGTCAACCAGAGGGCTGGTTTGAGCCAGTTCACACTTTGATGAGTTATTCCCGCAGGGGCAAGGCCCTCATGAACTTGTGCTGTCCTTCCAGCTTGAAAGTTGCCCTCTTTTGCAAACACAAGATGACCTAGTATTAGCTAAGCATGTGGAGTACATATTGTTACTATAAATACATCAAAATGGTTAATCGCGACTGTTTAGAGCTCACCTTCTTGACAGACATCGAGATGTTTTCCAATATGCGGTCCTTCACTTTGAGTTGATCCATCACTGGGGCTGTTGGCAGCAGAAGGCTGTCAGCTGACTCTCCCAAAGCAATGCTCTGTTTTTGCTAAAGCTAACGCCGCCCACATTAGCTGCTCAACAAACCCTCCGTTGCATTTTCACGTCAAACTAAACACACAGCTTGTGGTTTCAATTCTGGAAACTCTTTCGCTAGTTTAAAATGTTTACGCTCGCCAAGCCGCGCGTGGCTTCAACTTGGCGTTAGCGGAGTAACGTTTACGAGTTAGCTTAAACCTGCACTTTCTTCTTCTTTGAGGCCAAAAAGCGACTTCTCGGCTTCCCAGAACAGATAGCGCAGAGCATTCTTAGATAAAACCGGCGTCACTCAGGTGGGAAATTGTTCAATGTTACCTTTGGGAGCCTTTGCCTATTTAGTCGATGAATGAAACGCACAGCATGCTAAGGCTCTACATCTCCTGAAGGTCTGACCGGAAAGGTGACGTCACCTGACTTCTGTGTGAAAGGCTGGAAGTATTACCCTGCATTTCCCTTTAAGACATGCATACCATTGTTATGAGGGACCTACAACGCTTTTAATGAAATTGTTATTAAAAGTGACATATTTCCCTATAACTAAAGCATGATTTAATTGAAAGGAATGAGATTTCCAAACTTGAGATATGCTTCCAACTTCTTGGCTGATGCATTCCTGCTTTTATGAGATGGCAATTTGTGAAGACAACTGGTTTCTCTGGATTTGGGTTCAGTATTACAGGTGACACAAAAATGTAAAAAGAAGGTCAATGGGTATAGATATTTTTTTCAAAGGCACAGTGTGTTTTGTAATAAAAACACAAACTCGTGTCAAGTGGAATGTGGTTATTTTATTTCAAAGAGGCCTGCAACTTTTTCAAAAAATTTTATTCAAAAACAAAAGAATTGTTGGCATTTTCAGTGCATTTTCTGAGAAGAAAGTAGATTAAATTTAAGAGATTTGCAATTGTTTTTACTTATATTTTAGCCAGATGTGGAGCAACTTTTATACATAAGCAGGATGACTTTACAACAAACGGGACTCTGGGAGATTTTTAAGATGCATCTTAAAAAAAAAAAAAAGAAAAAAAAAACTACTGCATTAAATTGCAGCCAGCACCCCTCAGACACACACACCAGCCACATGCCCTTAACAAAATATGAACAGTCAAAATCTCAAAATGACACCTTTGAGCCATAAGGACATTCAGTTTCAATTCTTCCCCTTGCAATTTAAAATTTTACACTTTTTGTTGTCTTTGCTTTAGTCGGACTTCTCCTTCTCTCTCATATGCAAGAAGACTACACTGAAGACGAAAAGTCCTGTCATCATGGAGAAGGCGCTGGCGTAGTACGGGAAGGCTGAGGGAATGAAGCGCTCGTACTGAGTGTGCTGCAGGGGCCGGACTGAAACCTGCAGAGGACAAGTCGTACTTAATTAAATCCCAATCATTTTGTGTGGATAAACGGCCAAGATAGCCAAGAAAATTACTAAAAGTAAAATCTTTGTGACATAATCTCTTAAAAGTGCAAACAATCCAAGTAGGTTAAGTTATGTTTACAAGTAGGTTAAGTTTATTGAGCTTGCCTGAGTGGATGAGTAGAGATGTGTGTATCCCAGTCGGTTGTAGTCCACCTTGAACTGGAAGACTCCGTACACGTCGGGCAACTTGAACTGAACGCTGTATTTACCTCCTGATGAAAAACCATGAAACATATTGATAAAAATAAACAGAAAACGCAGATTTATGCAATATAAATACATTATATAATGGAATATGTTCAAGTTTACCATTTTTCTTGAGATAGGTTCTGACAAAGGGATCGATCCTCACAAACTCGAGCTGAATATCGTCGCCGTCGAAGGGAACCCAGCGGCCCTCGGACAACATCTCGATGACAATGCTGTATTCCTGAAAGAAGGTTGTATTCGCATCCACAGCTCCTCACTTATGCAAAACGTAAACGGTACTGATTGCTGTTAAACTCACCACAAGGTCAGTGACTGTGTACGCTGCAGGAGGAGCTGTCTCTCCCACAGGATGATGGGTAACGGCTCCCACTCTAAGCACTCCTGCCTCCTTAAACACCCAGCGCGACAGAGACACAGCCAACTCCAAGTTCCCCGTTTGCTCGTGCCTGGAAAACCCAGACAACAGGGAAGTTGGTTTTTCTTTTGTTTTTTTAGACCAAAAATCTAAGTAATGTCTCAGATAAGCAACAAAACAAAAATAGCTGATGTGTACCTTTGAGAGCCCGGTCTTGCTTTCTGCACTGCAGAGTTGAAGAAGGCGTCGCTGAAGAAGTCCAGGGAGCCGCTGAAAACCACTCTGGCATTGTTTCTGGCCTGCAGCCCGGCGATCAGCAGTGTGTTCTTCCCCACGGCATGGGGGTACTGCAGAGGTAAAAAGTTCCCTTTAACAACCCCATAGTTTCTAAACAGAAAATATCATGCCATCTACAACAAATTACACTCCTCAAATCATTATCTTTAACCTAAAAAAGAGGCTTATTATGAGAGTGAAACAGCAAATAAGGTGTATTTTATTAAGTAAAACTCAAATTAAATGTTTTGTTGATTGTGGGTTGAGAAGCTTTGTGCTGATTGCACCCAGGAAAAGCTTGTCACTGTTAAGGCCAAACAGCTTGTAGTAAACTGAAGAACAAAATGTTGCCCTGGCAAAAGTGCAACCAGGCTTCATTCCAAGGTGGTGTATGAATGTCCCACACACTGCTGTAATCCTATTTTGTTTTATTAATACATTTTTAATTGCCAAAGGAGTCATTTATTCAAGTTTCCAATCCCACAAATGACACCAAACAATCAAGAATGCACTATGTTTTGTCTTTTCAAAAAAAATAAAACACAAAGTAGTACGGGAAGTTATTCTCGTACTACTTTGTTATTCAAAAGAGTTAGCAGTTGAGTCCTACAGCAAATCAAGGAATATCAGGATCTGCCAATTTCTACACCAAAGCATTTATCACTAACCTTTATCTGAATGTATTTATATGCTTTTTGTTGATGCATTTAAAAACTCTGAACACTTGGGAGTTCTTAGTTTTGATTAATTTAATTCATTTGTGGAGAAAAAAAATGCTTATTTTTGTTTTCGTAGCAATTTTCCTCCTGATCACTGAACTGAGGACGTCAGGGGAAAATATAATGATTTTGCTCTCTTGCAGACTGACTGGCGCATCTTTATGCACAGTCTGAAAATATTAATTAATAAATAGTCAAATATTAATTTTTGCATATTCAAACAAATCTCAGAAAGTATTACAAGAGGTCAGAGTCTGAATATTATGTATTGGGGCAAATAATCTGCAAAACAATTTGAATCAGACCACAACGTTTAGATGCAGTTTAGTTTCTCGGTGATGTGGCTTGGTAATCATATTGCATTTATATATCCAGTGTTTTTGAGAAAAGTTCAGATTTAGGGAAACATCTCAATTAAAAAAAAAAAATCTGACCAGATAGTAACAGGTGGTGTTACCTGAGAAATGGGTCTGTCTGGGAAATAGGAGTAAGAGGTTGAAGAACCAGTGAGAATGTCGAGAACGAGTGGGTTGTCTGGGTCAGCAACCATGCTGGAACGATACATCACAAGGTTGATTTAAAGCTTCACATTTCTAAACAAGTCATATTTCTTTTAGAAAAAGTTACAGTTCCAAATTAACACAAAAACTAACAAATTAATTACATGTTCACCTAAGTGACAAGTTTGTTACAAGTTTTTTTAAAAGTTCATTGGGGAAAAAATAAAATAAAACAAAATAAAAACAAATTCAAAATCCACAATGGAAGGGAAAACTATTCAACCAACATTCTTGTATATTCAACCCCAATTAAAATAATATTTTCTTTAATTTTATTTTATTTTATTTAACTGCAGACACTGCAATTAGATTTTTTTTTTTTTTTACTTACCCAACACCTTTAAATAGAATGGGCTTGCTGGTTGGTTTGCCAACAATCGTGGCAGCTTTAAGCAGGTTCTCTGGGTCGGCAACAATCAGGGTGTGCTGGAAAAATGTATGATAACCAGAAAATAAGAGTCAAAACTCGGGATTGGAGCAACATCAATATAAATACTGTGAAGACTAAACTGTTTACCTCCCCAGGATCAGAAACATCATAGTTGTGGTGGTCAATGACAGCCGTTTTTTCCTCATCAAACTCAATGCCACACTCACTACCCAGCTCCCTCAGAGGGTCCCCTGCATTACAGAAATTACTACGTACAATGTACATTTTAACAAGTATATATTAATTATAAGGTAAATATCGAATCTGTCGACTGACCAATATCTGAACTTGCAGCGACCAGGACGTTGCCTCCACCATCAATGAAGGATGTTATTGTCTCCAAGTTTATATTTCCACCAAAGTCTGCAAAAACAAGCAGAAAAATAAAAGTTACATACCACTTTAAAAAGTTAACATGAGGTTTAAAAAGCCAAGTGAAATTTACCTTCAACTGATGGCGCGAAGATTATTAGATGGTCGTAGAGGAATTGCCCATATTTGATCAGGGACAGAGAGGGGTCGTCAGCGGTCTTGAAAGTGAGGTCAAATCCACGATCTGGAAAAATAAAACATGTTTCTGTTTGTCCTTTTTCTGCACTCCTTCAACAAATTAAGGTTTGTAGAGACCTCTGGGTCTCCCTGAACCGTTATTTTGCAGCTAAAAGCAATCAATGTATATAAATGTCTACACATGTATAACAAGTAGTAATTTTTTGTCTTCCTCTCTGAATTATCCATTTGTTTTGAACAACAAAAACAGAGCTGGATTAATTCTGTGCACTCAGCATTTGAATGAAGAACATTAAACATTTAGTTGATCAGCTGGTATTAACAATTATCTATGAAATTCATTTGTGGTTTAGCAGGAAATGTATGGTTTATGATATAAATTGAGGTTTATCTGTGAGTAAGTCTTTTAGTCGGAAACATTAACGAGTGTGTTTGATACATATTTCACCAAAATCGAACAGTGTTTTTATGGAATCTGGTGACAACCAAGGCTGGTTTAGCAAAGGTTAGCAGCCATGCTATACTGAATGGCGGAAGCAGTTCTGTCCAAGCATTTTCAGATGGTCTAGAAAACACTTCAAAACCACACATGTGGGACTAATTGGGTTTATGATGCTGAAACTACAAAAGTAAAGACATGCCATCCTTTGACTGACCTGCCAGACTGCGGAAGAAGATTGAATGGGTGTCTTTGATGTTGAGGTTGTCCAGTAGCACCAGCGTTTTCCCGTCAGCCGTCGCGAAGTGCAGCATGGAGGCTAACGAGAGCAACATGAGGACACTGCAGTCCAAAAGCGACCAGCATCTTGTCGTCTTCATTCCGGTTCGCTTTTTATATAATAAAGAACCGAACCGGTCCGCCTGCCTTGCTGCTGTAAACGCCGCCATTTTGCTACTCAAGTCGACG